ATTCTAATCTTAGCTCTACCATCTACCACAGCATATTTTGCAACTCCCCTGCACCTGTTTCCTTGCTTCTCCAGTAAGGGAGGGAGCATGAAATAATCTTTATGGTTCTCACAGATCTAAACTATTCTGATGTTGATCATATTAAATTTAGATCAGAGTATTTGATGTACTGTAATACTCAGACTCATCATGTGATTTATGAAACTTGAGAACAGTCGGGTACCTGCAATAAAAACAGACTATGTGACCAAGTAGTTTCATGCTTTTGAAGATCTAAAATAGTGGACACAAAGCCAAGTCACTACACAGGGCTCTGATATACTGCAGGTTTGGTGCAGCTTACGAGAACCCACACTGTGCCCACCTCCATCTGACAGGCACCTTCTCATTTTCTGTGGCTTTGTCCTAAAAGTGAACACAGGCCTTACACCGTCTATGAAGTCAGGTCATAATTTCCATCTTATGCAATAGCGGAGAGTGTCAAAGCCACATAATAGAGAACTCCACTATTTAACATAGTAGCCATTAGACACATGTGGCTATTTAATTTTAAACTAATTAAAATTTCACTTCCTATAGGAAAATTTGGAAATGGATAATGGTAATGGTTGAACAACATGATAAGCATAACTAATGTCACTGAATTTTACATACGAAGAATGTTAAAAATGTAAACCATTTGCTACATATATATTCACACAATTTTAAAAAATTCAGTTCCTCAGTCATATTAGCCACATTTCAAGTGCTCAATAGCCACCTCTGGCTGTTGTTGTTGTTAGGTGCCATTGAGTTGGTTCCAACTCATAGCAACCCTACGTACAACAGAAGGAAACACTGCGAAGTCCTGGGCCATCCTCAGGATCCTTGTTATGTTTGAGCCTATTGTTGCAGAGTATCTTCCTCTTTTTCACTGACTCTCGACTTTACCAAGCATGATGTCCTTCTCCAGGGACTGGTATCTCCTGATAACATCTGGCTAATGGCTACCATATGGGACAGCACAGATTATAGAACATTTTCATCATTGCAGAAAGTTCTATTGAACAGTGCTGAATTAGTTTAGAACCTGATCTTAAAACACAGGGCCTTGAATTTTTCTATGAGACAAATTTCAAGAGTTCCCCCAATGCAATCAGAGTACATAAATTCCTCTATATACAGCAGTTTAAGCTACCCCTTCAAACTCTAACAGCACTCTTGCTGGGTTACAGGACAACAAGGCTGCCATGCATGGGGCAGCCTGGTAGTTGATGAGGCTCACTCTCCACTTAACAGCACTTCTGAGCACAAGATCCTCAGCAAAATCACAGATTGCCGCATCATGGATTTTAGGGCTGCTCATGAATTACTGAAATGGAATCCTCAAATTCCAGATCTATCATTCCACAAAATTTTATTCTCTGGTTTCTGTCAGTACTTCATATCTCCCTAATATTGATTGCAGGAGGGTGGGAGGCTGCCCTTACTTTCTTGCTCACTGTTTAGTACTCATCAAAGACATTCTTTTTGTAAAAAGGACTGAGAAGCTATTCAATGGCTTTTTGATCCAGCGTGAAGAGTGAACTTTATCCAAAATATAGTTGAAACGTATTAAACAAAACAAAAACAAAGTTGCCATTGAGTCAATTCCAACTCACGGTGACCCCATGTATGTCAGAGTAGAACTGTGCTCCATAGGGTTTTCAATGGCTGACTTTTTCAGAAGGAGATCTCCAAGCCTTTCTTCCTAGGCACCTCTGGGTGGACTCAAACCTCCACCTTTCAGTTAACAACCAAGCACATTAATAGTCCGTACCACGCAGGGACTCCTAATATGTATTAAGAGGAACAGATTTAGTAGTAAAGGCAGCCAGCAAGCTGCCTTTATATAACATAAAAAGAATCATCATAACCCAAGAAAAAACAGAAGAGCCACATTGACTGATGTATTAAATTCCCTAATATCTATCAGGAACTGCTTGGAAAAGTTGTCAAACCAATGGATACTGTACATTATTATCCTTTTGTCAGTGAAAGGCACTATCATCGTGTTTAATGTTCTAACTTCTATAAAATTATTTCTCAAAAATTTGATACACTTATAAAAAATATATAAAAATATCCAAAGTTTGCATGTGACTTTATTTCCAAACTAGAGCTATTTGGAAATGGAGAATGAATTATAATATTGAGCACTTTTGAACCAATGGGAAAATTATAAATCTCTGAATTGATGATGTTAACTATTTGTGTTTAGCTAGTTATTCTGGACTCAAGGAGAAACGGATTTTGTGAGTTTGCAGGAGAAATTGAGCCACAGAGAAGTCAATGAAAAAAGAGTGATTTCCATATTCTATTTACTTTTCCTATTTAGAACTATATACAACCACCAATGAACATCCTGACAGGGAACACAACAGAGGGTCCCTGATGGAGCAGTAGAAGGATGGGGTACAGAACTCAAATTCTAGTAAGAAGACCAGACTTAATGGTCTGACTGAGACTGGAGGTGCCCCGGAAAGCATGGCCCCTGGATTCTCTACCAGCCCAGAA